TCCCAATCCTAATTAGCCCTGTTTTAGGGTGCTTTCCAGCAACTGCGCCTCGACGAGAGCATTCCGGGGGTGCCGACCTGTCCCTGGCGGACACCCTGGGCCCAAGATCGGTGCGTTGCGCCCTCTGGGCCGGGCCAGGGAGCAGACTGCCGCGGCAATTCCGCGACCGCCTCCTGGAAGACCTTCTTGTGGAAGAAAATTCAACCTTTCTCAAGTACGGCAGGGTTCGCGTCGTACCGACTTCGGCGTTGGATTCTGACACCGCGGGGATCGTTCAACCTTGAACGATCGGCCGTTTCTGAAACGTCCCAATCGTTCCACATCGAACGATTCTGGGTCGCCCGCGGCGTTCAAAGTTGAACGCCGCTGGCGGGGTCGCCGTCAGTCGACACGACACGAACCTACCATAGGCTGTCCTGGGCCCCAAGGGGGGGGGAATCGAGGACGGCTTTTTTTACATACCAATCAGCCCTGGAGAGCTGCCCCCTCTTTGATCCGGCCAGGGTTTTCATCCCCCCTGGCAGCATGGGGCCGGGGCTGCTCCCCTGGGGGAAAAGTCCAGGCAGAGGGATTTTGCCACGTGATGCGAAGTTCCCCCCCTCCCCACCGAGTCCCCCTCCTCCCTCCTCTTCTTTATATCCTCCTCCTCCTCCTCCTCCTCCTCCTCCTCCTCCGACTCGCATCGCTTGACGGACCCAAGCCGCCGAAAAGCACCGAACGGCCCTGGGGCATCGTCCGACCAGGAACCCCCCGCCCCCCCTCATGGAGTGGAGCCGAGAACCTCTGGGGGCCCCCGCGAGCCGAGCAAAGAGCCGGGAGGGCCGACCGTCCCCCCGGGCCTCCGGAGCCGGCGCGGGCGGGGCCGCGTGGCAGAGTGTGCCGGGAATGGATCTACAGGCCAGAGGGGCTGCGAGGTGAGGGCGCGGCAGCAGGGGGGGAGAGGGGAGGGGAGGACTGGGCTTTGGTGATTTTCCCCCTCCGCTCCCTCTTATTCCCTTCTTCTTTCTCTGCTCTTCCTGCTTGCTACTCGCATGCTGCCACTCGTCGCCACGCGGCCGTTTGCCGCTTGCCCAGTAGTCTGATATGGTGAGGGAGATTGTGTGGGCTGCCATCGGAAGTGCCGATGCCGCCTGAACGGTCAGGAAGATCGCTGTGATGTGATGTCATCATCGGAGGCAGAGCGAGGACTCGAAGCAATGTCCCGAGTCTGGAACCTCACGGCACGGCGGCCGCCTGGATGGGGTGCCTCAGCATCTTGCGGCGAACAGAACCACTCCCTCTGGCCATCGCTCGGACGTCCATTTCCTGTGTTTTTGTTCGGTTTCGTGCGTGGTTTTCTCGCCAAATGATCAAGGATGCTCCTCGATGGTCCTCGCCGAAGGAAACATGCACACGTCCGAGCGATGCCAAGCCCCTGGGCGGGCGGGCTGAAGTTTGAACACTCTCTTGGATCAGCTGGCCTCCCGCGGAGACAGCTCGCGTTCCCTGCCAGGAGTCCCTCCACTGTGAAGTCGACAGTCTGGTGGAGCGGCTGTTCGTGATGCCTCTCTCATCCACGGTCGCGCGGGTCTCTCGCGAGCCTCCCCCGGCCTCCCACGTCTGATGCCACCCTCTCTGGGAGTCGTGGGGTGTTCTCCACCCGCCTCCACGGTCTTCGGCGCCCAGCCCGCATGTTAGCGGCGTGCACCTTCGGCAAACCCGTTGTTATGGGCAAGTCGGCATTCACGCTCTCTTTCCGCTGAGTCAAGACTCAATGATGAGGGAATGAAGAATGGGGAAGCAGGCATAAGAAGCAAGACGGGGGATGATGAAGGAGTATGGGGAGCAGTTAATTGGAATAATATTAAAGCTGCGATCAATGAAAGAAGGCGACACCGGGATGAGGCACAAACAAGGAGGAATGAGAGGCCGAGGGAGGGCTTTGCAAGACACAGTGACACACATGAGAGGACGGAGTCATGGAGTAGAGAGTACTCTTAAGAGGAGAGGAAAGTGATGGAGCTCAATTTGGAGTGAGGAGACATAAGAGAGACGGATTAGGAAGGAGTTGGAATGAGGCTACGGGTGAGGATACAAAGTGACGCCCAAGTGAACGGAGGAGGATGAGGAGGAGAAGGAGCAGGATTGAAGAGGATAATCATGGTGAAGGGAGGGAGGAGTCGGACGAGAAGGCGGAGCAGTGGCGAGGAGGAAGGATGCACGTACATGTACAAGGATGCTGGGGACGGGGAGGGTGCAGGAGCGATAAGAGACGCGCGAGTGAAGGGGATGGGATGCGAACGAGGAAGGGAGGATGAGGGGGAGAAGGTAAGGATTGAATGATCGGAGGAGGACGAGAAGGGGGCAGATAGGGAGCAGGAGGTGAAGTTGCTGGCAGAGGGAGGATGGGGAGAGGGGACGAGAAAAGGAGGGTGGAGCTGTGAGGAGGGGTGCTGGATGGGCCTGCCTCCACAGAGGCAGGCAGCAGGGAGGAGGGGCGAGGAAGACGTGAACATGAGAAGCGGGGAAGAGAGGAAGATAATAATTAACGGGCGAAGAACGGTATAACATAAACTTTTTCGCTGTCGGGGGCGCCTGCCTCTGGGCGGCTGGAAAGTTTATACCCCTACGTTGCCACTGTAAGGGTATAAACTTTCCAGCCGCCCTGGGGCAGGTGTCCCCGACGGCGAAAAAGTTTAGTTTATACCGTTCTTCGCCCGTTAAGGAATATAATAATGAGGTGATAGATATGAGGATGGGATGAGAGGAGGCAGGAGGGGGCAGGGAGGAGCGATCCCAGGAACAAGCGAGATAGGCGGAGGTGATGCTGCGACAGCGAGACCGGGAGCAGGAACCACGAAGGCGGGAATACTGTATGGGCCGAACGAAGGGGTAGAGGGATGAGGAATGCAAGAGAGTGGCGGAGGGAGGAGGGAGGGAGAAGGGTAGGAAGAGGGGTGAGATGAGGGCGGAATGAGCGAGGAGGGAACCCGTAGGAGGTGGAAGGTTGAAGGGAGGAGAAGACAAGGAGAGGGGAGGGGGGGCAGGAGGGAAGAGAGAGGAGGGAAGGGCGAAGAGCGAGGGAGGCAGGCTGGAGGCGGGAGGAGGGAGGAAGGAGGGGGATGATGACGACGACGACGACGACGACGACGACGACGACGACGACGACGACGACAACGACAACGGGGACCAATGCTACCAGGACCAGGAAGGGGCACTGCCGAACCAGGACCTCTGGCAGATTGATTGTGTGCTTGATCCGTGAGCGCCAAGGCAGCTCTTTCCTCTCGGACAACTCTCTGACGGCCCTGGGGCCAGAACGGGCGCTGCAGAAATTGAGAGAACAAATCCGCCGACCCCTTGGGGTCATCGGCGTGTGAGATGCTTCCCCCTCCCCAAACCCATCCCCCCGGGGCCCGGTCCGGTCGGTTTGGAGGGGGGGGGTCCGGCTGGCCCCAGCTGAACGCGACACGGGCCTCACGACGGGCCATGAGGGCCCCAAGAGGCCCACAAGATGGTCCAAGAGGGCTCCGAGTCGCCGATGCATCGGTCCAAGACGCCCAAGTTGCCCCTCAGACGGCCCAAGAGGCCCCCGAGACGCCCCAAGAGGCCCCTAAGAGGAGTCCAAAGAGGGCCCCCAGAAGCAAACATCGTCCCATTCCCTTCGGGAAACGTATGATTCTAGCACATTCGCCTCTTGGGCTTTCACGACGTCCAAGACGGCCCAATAGGCTTCCAAGATCGCCCCAAGACGGCCCAGGAAGCCCCAAGACGGCTCCAGGAAGGCCCCAAGATGGCCCAAGAGGCCCCCAAGACGGCTGCAGGAGGGGGCCCAGGCGGGGGGCCCGAACGGAAATTTCGAGCCCTCGGCCCCCAGAAGCATCCAGGAGGCCCCAAGAGGCTCCCAAGAAGCCCCCAAGAGGCCTCAAGAGGCCCACCGGTGCGGCTCCGCGCCACCAAATCGTCCGCGCGCGCGACGAGAGGACGAGCGACGAGCGACGAGGACGACGAGGACGACGAGGACGACGACGAGCAACCACGACGACGACGACGACGACGACGACGACGAGCGACCACGACAACGACGACGACGAAGACGACGACGACGAGCGACGACGAGGACGAGCGACCGCGGTGACGACGACGACGACGACGACGACGACGACGACGACGACGACGACCACGACGACGACGACGGCGGCGTCGACGACGACGAGCGACGCCTCCAGAGGTCTCCGGAGGCTTCCCCAGGCTTCTGGAAGCCTCCTGAGGCCTCTGGAATTCTCCAGAGGCCTTCCGGAGGTCATCCGAAAGCCTCCAGAGGCCATCGAAAGCATCTGAAGGCGTTTGACAACGACGAGCGACCGCGATCGATGACAATCGACGACAATGACGACGACGATGACGAAGATGATGACGACGAAGATGACGATGACAACGAGCGACGACGACGAAGACGACCGACAACGAAGAGCGACGACGACGACGACGAACGACAACGAAGAGCGACGAGGACGACGACGAACGACAACGAAGAGCGACGAGGAATTGTGGCGAGCACATGCCTGCGCAGGCGTCGTTGCCTCCACGTGGCGTATAAGAGGTATGCTCCTTACCTTCCTCCTCCATCCTCGTCGTCGTTGTCGTCGTCGTCGTTGTCGTCGTCGTCCTTCTCCTCCTACTGCTCTCTCTCTCTCTCTCTGTCTCTCCTACGAACACCACGTGTGCCTGAGAGCACCGCAACTTGCCCGCGGCCACCGCCCCTATCCGTATCCCCACGCGGACCCCTATGCGGCTCCCTATGCATACCCCTGTGCGGGTTTCTATAAAGGGCCCCTGGGAATCCCATCGCGGATCCCTATGCCGATTTCAGTGCGGATGCCTATACGGATCCTGATTCGGGTTCCTGCGCGGATCCCTGTGCGCACGGCGACAGTGCCGGGGGCGCACTGGGGGCCAGAGCGTGGCCCAAGCAATGAAGAGACACACGCTCCTAGGGATATCCACACCGCCCCCGCAGCCTGCCGACACAAATGTGACGCGCCCGAGGCCCTCCATGTGGCCCCTGCTGAACTCGCCGACGTACACGAAGCGCTCGCCGGGCTGCGGCGGCGGCAGCGGGGGGCCCGAAAGCAGCGGGCAAGTGAGGCCAAACGCCTCCCTCCTGCCGCCTCTCTCCTCTCCTCGTTCGCCTCCTCTCCTCGTCTCCTCTTACCCTTTCCTCCGCCTCTCTCTCTCTCCCTCCTCAACCTTCCGCCTCTTCGGGTCGCTCATGGCTTGTCTCGCCTCCTGCGTTTCCGGCCCTCGCTTAGTTCTCATCGGATGGGGATTCCGACCACCCTGGGCGCACGGGGGCCGCGCAACAACAAAAATCAATATATTTTCTTCTCTACAGTTACCGTTCGATAAATGCAGTTGGGTCTGTTTAACTCTTGAAGCTCTAAGTAGTCTCAATGATTTCAAACAGGTTATGAGCAACATTCGGAATTCAACATTTCAATACAAAACTCTCGGGATTGAAACGTGGCAAGTTGAAATTTTCAACCACGGACTCCCCACAATCCCCAAACAGTGCTTGCACTTGCGGCTTCTTGAGCGTTTCCTGACGAACTGGGCTGGTGTGCCGCTCTGGCGGCTATGAGGCCGCGGGCCGTCGTCGCCCTGTCGCCGCCTCGTCGCCGCGGCGTCGCCGCGTCGTCGCCGCCCGTCGTCTGGGCCTGTCTGTCGGTCGCCGCGCTTGTTGCCGCCGTCGCCGCCCCGTCGCCGCCTCGTCGCCGCGCGTCTTCTGGGCCTGTGTGTCGGTCAACGCGCTTTTGCTGCCGTCGCCACCCCGTCGCCGGCCCACACAGACTGCGCCACATATCTTGCACCACAGTGATGCGCACATCACAGACTTCACCACGCAGGTTGCACAGCATCCATTGCGCATCGCATAGTTCGCACAGCATGGCTGACACCACTTTGTGTTTGCACCATATAGACTGCACCACATAGCCTGCACACCAAAAATCCGTCACCGTGCCTTCCGCTCGCAGCGGAGTGCTCCGAGGCTCGCGCAGCCCTGAGAGGCAGCGGCTTCGCAAGTCAGCCTCCGAAGGGCCCAGACCCCCGGCTTCCTGGGCGCTCTCGGGCGCCTCCTGGGGCTCCTCGCGCGGGCCTCCAGGACGGTCCCTCCGCCCGGGAGGGCCCCAGAAGAGGCCACGAGCGCCTCGTTCGCGACGCGCATGTCCAGCACGGACTCCGATGGCCCTGGCCACGGCGCTCCTCGACCCCAGCCGCCCCGCCGCCGGCACCATCCCGCCGGCCGCCCCGCCGCCTCCTTCTCGGGGCCCAGCAGGCCGCCCGCCCGAGGACCCCCGGGGCCCTCGGAGGGCCCTCGTGCGGGCTCTGCCGCGGAACCCCGCCCCACCGCCTGCCCCCGCCGAGGCGCGCCGCGGCACCGGCTCCGCCCCCAGGCGCGCCGACCCGACCCGACCATCAAGAGCGACACCGACGCCTCCTTGGTCTTCAAATGGGACCCTCACAGGTCTCTCCCGGCTCGCCCTCATCGATCTCCGACCGGCTTGCGACGAAACGGTCTGGCCGCAAGGCCCTGGCTGGACTTCTGCGACGCCTACTGGGAAGGGGATGGCAGAGCCCTCACCGACCCCACGGTCTGGTCGGACTTCCTCCTGCGAGCCTTCCTCCAGCAGCGGTGGAAGGACCTGAGTGAACCCCCCCCTGGACAGATCAGGGGCCCTGCGCCCTGGGAGGACGACTGTGCTCCCAACCAGGGCAAGCGGCGCCATGTCAATCTGGACGGAAGCCCCGACGAATCTCCCGAACCGGGCGAGGCGGCCGCTGGGGCGTGGTCCTGCAGGGCGTTCCTTCCCTGCAGGGGGCCATCACCCCGGCCGGGGCGCGGTCACCCTATGCCGCGAGGGCTGGGGCTGGGCGGCTAGCCGTGGCACTCAACCCACGGGATCGCTCTACCCAGTGAAAGAAAGGCCGGAAGGCCACATAAGGGAGGCGGCCGTGAGGGTCTTCATCGCCGCCGAGCCCGCCGGCACGCCGGGTGGGCTAATTAGGTGCACGCTGGACCTTTTTCCTAGGTTGGGGCGTTTGTCAACCCGTCAGGCTCTCCGGCGGGGGCATCGGAGTTCGCTCCTTTGCTGATTTCGCGTGCCCCAGGAATCTTGGTCCAGGGGCATCGGCTTGAGTCCTTTGCCCCAGGCTGTGGGTAGCGGCGCCGTGGCTGCTCATCGCCTGCGCCCTCAAGGGGCAAAACTCGGTAAGGGTGCCCAGAGCAAAGCTCTCTGGAGGAGGGGCCCCCCGTGGGCCGCACAGCCTCGCGCGCGGTGCCACCAGCGTGGAACAGCCGGCAAGGAGGCCCGCCGCCCAGGAGAGGCTGCGGGCCCACCCGCCGCCAAAAGCAGCGGCGCATTTCGCGCCGGCGCAGACGCGCGCCCTCTGCCCCCGCCGCTACACCGCCGCGCAGCTCACGCGCCTCTGGGACGCCGCCCCCGGCAGACGCGCGCCCTCCGCCCCGACCTCTGCACCGCCGCGCAGCTCACGCGCCTCTTGGGCGCCGCCCCCGCCTCGCGGATGCCGACGCCGAACGAGGCATCCGCGGCCAGAGGATGTATGTGGGGCCCCAGGAGCGGGTCGCCTCCCGGGAGCTCTCTCGGCCCGCCCGCCTCCAACCCCGGCTCCCGGAGAGGAGCCCTGGAGGGCACCGTGCAGCAGGAGCCTTGCCGCTTGTCTTATGTCGGGCGTGTCCCCCTACAGGGGGATTTTCGACGAAAAATAAAAAATACCCCCAAAATACTCCAAGAAGGTCAATTATCCCGGCAAAGCAACCTAACAGCCATGTGTAGGAGCATATCTGGAAGCATTCCCCTTAAGATTCGGATGAGAATCCAGTTGTAGAATTCTGCTGTTCTCGCAGTCGTTGTCGCATTCGCGAGGACAGTCGCAGTGGCAACGGCAGTCGCAGTCACAGCCTCAGCCTCAGCCTGCCTCAGCCTCAGCCTCCGCCTGCCTCAGCCTCAGCCTGCCTCAGCCTCAGCCTCAGCCTGCTTTAGCCTCAGCATCAGTCTGCCTTCGGCCTCGGCCTCAGCCTCAGCCTGCCTCAGCCTCAGCCTGCATCAGCCTCAGCCTCAGCCTCAGCCTGCCTCAGCATCAGCCTGCCTCAGCCTCAGCCTCAGCCTCAGCCTGCCTCTGCCTCAGCCTCAGCCTGCTTCAGCCTCAGCCTCAGTCTGCCGTCGGCCTCGGCCTCAGCCTCAGCCTGCCTCAGCCTCAGCCTGCATCAGCCTCAGCCTCAGCACGAAGCGACCCAGCTAGAAGGACAAAGCGCTGAATGTACACCGATGTGTTCGACGACTGCGTATGTAATGATGTGACGATATACAGACTGAGCCCTTCGTGAATGTCTACATGTTTTTCTGACGCCTACAAACGGCGCTGACGTGTGTGAGAAAATTGTCCGCGCAGCAAAAGCCGGCGAAGCGTGCGGGAGCTCGCATGCTGAGACAGACTACGTCTGCAGACCGCCAGCTGCAAAAAGTTGCGAACGGCTCTTGGAAGATGTTTACGGAACGGAGCTACGGTGTCTGAAAACATTGGCATCGAAGGGAAGAGCCTCGGAGCCCTGCAACCTGAGAAACACCGCAGGAACTCGCATACTGAAAAGGAATGCATTGCAAACCGCACGCTGCGAACCCTGCAGGCTGAGAAGCACCGCAGGATGTCGCATGCTGAAAAGCACTTGTACTGCAGAGCGCTAGCATCTATCTCGGGCTCGGACCCCCCCGTCCTGATCCAGAACGTGTCCGGCCACGGCCTGAAAATGCCGTTCCAACTCCCGAGGATCAGCTGGCACTCCGGCTCTGGGACACTCCAGTACGTCTTGAGCACCTTGAGCCAGGCCCCATCTCGGGATCCCCACAGCACGCTGTACTTGACCGAGACCGTGCCGAACTCATAACAATTGACCTCCGAAGGACCTGCGAGTGCAGGCTGAGAAACACCACGCGATTGCAGGGCACGGCATTGCGTGTCACATGAGTGCAGGCTGAGAAGCACCACATCTCGTTTGCCAGAGATCACTCCCAGGTTATTTGATCCCGCAACACCAGCCACGGCGTAGCTGCCACAGGGGCCGCAGATAGCAACGGTTCGGTCACCCAATTGGCGTTCCGGTGAGTCACAATTCGCGCGTGGCTCCACGAGCCTGTGTAGCGCGATTTGCGGGGCACCAGTGTGCTGTAGGTGTTGTTGCCGTAGCAGAAGACGGCCTCTGGAGCCCAGTGCGGATTCCAGCGGACAGCGTAGACCCTGTGGACGCCATTGCGGATGACGTCGCGCGCACCTTCGATATGTGCCACCCATCGAAGCCAGTCAAATGCTGAGCCATCGGTGATGTCAACAGCACCTGGGGCAGTCTCGCCATGGTGGTAGTGCAACAGCGATTGGAGAGCGGCGCTGGCTTCGTCGCGGCCCACAATCTGGCGCGAGCAGGCTGCCTCTTGCAGGTGCTCCTGTGTGAAGAGCAGTGGGGCATCACCGCCAGTCTCGGCAGGCTGAGCAGCGCCACCGTCAGGCACGGCAGTCTGAGCAGCGCCGCCACGAGGAACATGAGGCTGAGCAGCGCCAGGCTCAGGCACGGCAGGCTGAGCAACGGCGCGTGGTGGACCGACATAGGTGGGCTCATCGGGTCGGCCGTTCTTATGGTAATGCAGGCGCATGGCTGAACCGTCTGCACGACGGAACTCGAAGAAGTGCCTGCCGTGGCCATCCGTGTTGGAGTAGTTAGGGTCGCGCTCTGTCTCGATGATGCGAAAGAGAACCTGGGCGATGCCCTGCCCGATTATGCGCTCAGCGAAACCCGGAGCGGCAGACCGAAGCAGTTGCTTCCAGTCGTAGGACGGGTCGTTTGTTACGTCTTTGAACGACAAGTTGTTGACAATGCACTCGGCGCGCAGCGCGCGCTGCCACTGGCAGGCGGTCTTGCCGCCCATCCCTTGTGTACGGCGGATGTCTTCGAGGTGAGCCTGCTCAAAGACCACGTCGACACCTGGCTGAGGAGTCGGTGCGGGCGGATCCGGCAGAATCTCCCACGGGCC